ACATTACTGGTTTCCAGTCCTGTGGCCATGTGTTCATTTCCCAAATTTTCTGGCACAAGGCTGTGATGGTTGTAGGTGGTACAGGCCTCAGCAATTCTGAGCAGTAAATGGTGTTTGAATCCTTTTGACTTGTGCAAATACATTCCTGGTGTGGCCCTTCATGCGGTCCTCTTCTAGCTGCTTGCAACGCTGGTCCCAGTAAACTATATTGTCTTTCCTTCTTGCTTTTTGGAAATCCACATTCAATCTCCTTGCTTTCTCCCGTTTGCCTGCTGCTTCAGCTGTTTTTATTCACTCGGCTATTCTGATGGGTTCATCTGAGAGCTGCATGCACTTTTTTTTTCTGGCTGCTTGTATGGTATGTGTTCAACTGCTGTTTCAATGATGGTTGATTGAATTTCTTGCCACAGTTCATCGGGTATCTTCTCAGCAGTTCAATTGAACATCAATGTATAGTGTGCCATAATTGTTTATACGCTAAAATCTCTGAAATAAAGCAAAGTTATTAGTTGTTATCAAACTGACCATTTGGCATGTCAACATGTCCTTTTTTCTTAACATCCCAGCTGTAGGATGCTGGAGCAATAATACTTCCTCTTAACTAAAATTAGGAAGTATCCTCCCTTTATACAGCACTTCCTAATTCTGATATATTCAATACAAACAGTCACATGTTTAAGATTTAATAGGTGTGTTCCTTAACTAGAGCTGATTAATCGATTTCAAATCCTGGTTAAATTTGGAACTTACTAAGTTTCAACTCTCCACTGAAAAATTAACTATGACAGAAAATCCATCCAAGGAAAGCCATATGAATAAAATACACCAGTGAAGTTCATAAGTGTGGTACCATTTCCAGATAAAAATAAACAATTGTCCTTTATTTAAGATCTTTTCAGTATTGTTAAGGGACTAGCCTTAGCTTTTAATTTTTGTAGCTTAGCCCATTATAGATAGTTTAATTGTCCTTTAAAAGGGTAGATTTTCATCACTGAGCTTTTTTTAAAGGGAAATGTGCCTTTATAAATACTGGTAATGCCATACTCTCCCAAAGTTATAAAGGGATTGACTAATAACAATGATGTTTTCATTTCAGTATTTTTCTTTAGACATAATGCCATACCTCAGACAAATATTAATAAATAAAGATTAAAGGTCAGTACTTCTGTTTATAATAACCAAAAGTCAAAATCTAGAGTCATCTTTTAAACTATGTAACTGACCTTGTTATACTGAGTTCAGAAGAGCATTTACAGCTGTTTATAAGAGCTCCTCTCATATGGTAAGGGAGGGTATGGATTGGAAATTGAGGCTGTGCTTTTATTCTGCCAATTGCATTAAACAAGTTACAGTCATTTCTAAGTGCTTAGGGCAAGTTTAAGCAATTACTTTAGTCTGATAGGCATATTTGAAATGTTGAGAGTATGTTGTGAGACCATTTACAAAATGATTGTTTTGGTAGGTGTAACCAGTTATAAAACTATTTACCAGAAGGTATACAAATGAGGTTGCTACCCCACCTGCCTAACTTCCCAGGATGCTTTTTCCATTCCACTTTATTTATATCTGAGTAGATGGGCATCTTCTAAGAAAAGCACTAGTCTCTGGTGGGATCTTGAATTAAGAAACGTTTTAAGGTATGCTGAGATTCTGTAATTTGCAGTAAAGACTTTTCCCTTTATATATTGCCATAATGAGCCTCCATGATTCAAGTAAATGGAACTCTGATTTATAACTAGGTGACTAAATGTAAGAAAGGGTTTCGTTGTAGAGAGGTCTCAAAAAGGCAAAGGTTACAAAGACAGAGAAGGTTGCTTCATGGATGCATTTCTGCAATTCTGCAGTATGAGAGGCCAACACCCAAGAAATTCTGGGTTCTTGTTTGGCTGGATATTGAGGGATTCCATTTCCAGGCTAAATCAAGAGGAATGTACATTTGAAAAAGGGTTCAGAAGCTAAGCTCTTTTATATAAGAACCCTTTTGAATTATTGTTTCTAGTCCAGCATCTTTTTCTACAGTGAATAAGCTCAGTGCTTCTAGGAAAGCCTTTGCCTGTTGTCCTTTAACAGGAACTAAAATTTTGAGATAGGTTGCCTTAAAATCTGGAAGTTGCATATACCCATAGTGATTTAGAGTCATTGCTAGTCTCTTTCTCCATGGTTGTGTTTAACCCTCTCAAAGTTAATGGCTATAATGTTTTGTTTAAGTGCTAAATGCAGGCATGTTCCTTTGTGACTGTCCTGAATTTACCACAAGCCTATTTCTTTGAGTGACCTCAAATTTAAGTAATACGAAAAGAAGAGCTCCAAATACTGTATTCTTTCCTAGGAAAAGTACTCTGTAGATGGTTGATTGTTTTGCTTCTTTTCTGTATATTTTTCAGTTCTACAATATCCTTTATGAGATGCAGTTACAAAAACTGTATATAGTACTCCGACTGCAGTCATTCTATATTTATATATTACTGTAATCTTTATTATTTTACTTTTTTATTGTTTCTTTAATAGCCCATAATCTCTAAATGTATTCTTAGTTTTTAACTTAATGTTTTCATTTCTCCAGGCCAAAAAAATTAATGTTCTGGTTTAAGAAATGTTAAAGGAAATTAATAAATGGATGCTTAGCTAAAGCATATAAAAATCAAGTGTACTTCTTTCACTGTGAAAGCATAATAAATAACCCATAATTTGCCACCTTTTTAATGGATCCCTCAACCATGCCTGCAGGTATTACCTCAATCTACTTAATAATAGCTTATGAGTAATAATAGAGTTATTATATTGCTTCCCAAAAAGAAAAATCAAAATATTAATCACTGAAATCCTGTAGATTTAATATTTGGAAATTGTTTTCTAATGTTTAAAATTAATAAACATGTTGTATATAAATCCTAGCAAAATTGTCTTCCTTGCAAGAATATTTAGACCAAACTATACTACAAAGCATTCATAGGCAAAGGGTGCTGTTGATCTCTGTTTGCTTCTCTTTGGAAATTTGCTTATTGGGAAACTATGAGCTTCTTCTGTTCTCTAGTATTAGGAGTTTCTAAAGAGGGCTGTTGCCATAGCACATCCATTGTGTAGCCACCATTCTGGTCAGGTAATTTGCTGAAAATTAATCAAGATGGTTTAAACAAACTAATTGTGTAGCCTCTAGTGTTTGCTGTACACCTGAGCTGTTCCTATGTTGAATTTTGTGTAGATTGATGGTTTTTTTACCCCTTCTTGATAACCACTTCAGTGCAAAACCTGCAGCACATGAATAGCATTAAGCATTGCTCTTTGTAGCCATGACATCTATACAGGAAAGGATAGAAGGATTTTTCCTGGGGGGAAAAATGAGAAGATAAAGATGGTGGTAGTAGAAATATATTACATTTACAGTGTATAACTGAGTAAAGTCAAGGCAACAATCTTATCCCAATAGAAATAACTGAGAATTATATTTAATGCATGCCAGTTCTTAAGTACTGCATAATGACTTTTCTGTGTTGTATGTCTAAGTATTTCAAAAGCAAGCATGTAAAAGAAGAAGAAGAAAAAGAATGTAATACTGGGGTTAAAATACAGCTTTGTATTTCAGCTTTCAGTAGACAAAAGTCCTTAAGACTGTGAAGATTTTTTAAAAAGTGAGAGTGAATAGTTAAATCCAAAAAAATCGGGCTTTCTATATCATTAGGTAGAATGAAGGGGTCCCTGCAGACCATTTCTCTTGAAGCTCCGCTGCCCATTCCTCACTGATGGAAGATACAGTTGGCCTTCCAGTACCCCTGTTAGCCAGCTATGTTTAGGTGGTTTCTTTATTGTACATCTAGTCCCAAAAGATGTCATAGTGTATCAGGTAGGGTAAAATGTCAGTATTGTCACTAGTTGAAACATAAATATTCCTCTCCTTCCTCAACTTTAGCTTATAGGAGAGTAAGTTGGCCTATTTTAATGTAGTTCACTAACTTAGAGTGATCTGTAGCCAGAATTGCCCCTTTTAGTATGAAAAAAATGTCTAGAAGTTGTTTGATCATGGAGTATAGATTTGTAATGTTGAGAATCTGGGCAGTTTCTCATTTGGACTCTGTTCTTCTGACAAATCAATTTGGATATCTAGAGAGACCTGGGGCTTTTTTTTTTTTTTTTGCAGAGAGTTTACTTGTCTGTGTGTGTGGTGGTGGGGAGCCTTTTATCTAAAATCTGTCCAGAATAACGTGTTGAACCATGTACAAGCAAGAAAAAGAATATTGAAAAAGGCTGCTTTTTGAAATGTCAGTGTTAAGAAATCAAATGCCCATTACACTAAGTCATAATGTGTGGTTGCTTTTTTGGCTTTTCACAGTAGATGAATTCCCCAAGGGATAAATCATGCTATTATGTTATCCCCAGTAGAGTACTCCATTCCTTGTATATTGTCAGTTGGCCAGTGTTTTTTAAGTAGGGGCTGCACAAGATATCTATGTACTGCTAGTTATATAGATTCCTCTGTTGCCTTGAATTATTTCTTTAAGATATCCAAGTAATTTAACACATTTGACAGAATATGAGGAAGGGCCAAAGCTTAATGTTTCTTATTTAATTCTTAACATCTCCAGAGGAGGAGGAAGAAAAAAACAACTTGGGCTACAAAACCTTTCTACCTCTGAGACCTGCTCTCAGCAAAAGTTAACTACCAGCGCATTGATGGTCTGACATCAAAAGTATTTTTCCCCCAAAAGATAACATGTATAAAGCTTTGTGTACTGAATAAAGAATCTTCACATTACTGTTTTGCAGATTGTCCCTATGGGAGATAATCATGCCAGCTCTTTTGATCAAAATTTCCATACTGAACTGAAGGAAATGCTTTCTTAATGAAATACTTATTTATGCAGATGAAGCAAAAGACCTGTGGCAATAGGATTAATTACATTTTTAAAGTGGATGGGTTTGGTTTTTAAAAGCATCTGGCAGCTTCAAGCATACCATCAGTGGCCTTTCAATTACCATAATTGTATTCTTGTTTCCATCTATAGATTTTGGGATTTCTCCAAGCCTGACCCTCTGCTTGAAACTGTGGAGCATCATACGGAGTTTACTTGTGGCCTAGATTTAAGCTTGCACTATTCAGGTCAGGTAAGAAAGAAAGAGAACTTCATTTTTTTTTCTTATGTGAATGTAAACACAGTTGAAGCATGAATTGTGCCTAGCAGCGCTTTTGAAATCTGCAAATTTGTGTAAGAAGATGCAAAAATAAAACAATAGAATCAACCAGCGGCAAGTTCCTTCAGTCATCTAGGATGCGATCCATGCGGCCCTAGAGGTTTAAACTCATTCAGCATCAATAGATATTCCGTTATCATGAACTGTCAGCCTAACCAGTTCTCAAAATTGCATATCCCCATAGCGTTGACTGAGCTAAAATACTGGTTGAATAGTTGACTGCTTCTTTTTTGTCATTTTCACTGAGCACTGGGGTACTTAATTTCTTCCTTTTATTTTAACCATATCTGAAACCCTTTTTCATTCTTGACCTATTAACTCCAGCTGATTCTAAGCTTTAGCTTTCTTGACACTATTTCTACAAATCCAAACTACTATATGTAATCTTTTTTAGTGAATTACTGTATATCTCCTTCCATCTCCTCTATATGTCCTTTGTGATTTTCAGATTGTCACTAAGCTTTTCTCATTAGAATTGTTTGCAGTGGTGTTCTTCATACAGTAAAACCACAAGTTACCAAATGTTGGGTGCCATGGACAAAATTTGTGTCTAGATGTCTCTATAAAATAACAAACTTAGTCCACTGTATCCAAAATGGTCCAGATGATTACTTACATTTATATTATTTTCATTAATTTACATATTGATAAGTATAAAAATGATACAATTACGTACTTTGCATTGATTTATGTCATTTGCATAATGACATAATTACACAGATGACAAAAAAAGATATAAGTTGACATGAATGACTTCAATTCAAATTCAATACGTGTGGTAGGATCAAACAACCCCTCTCCCTAAATGGTTTGTTACATTGAGGTTTTGCTGTGCTATATCTCTTTTTAAAGAAATTCCCATCTTTGTGGGGCTCTCTTTTCCATCAGCTTCTATTGCCACTGAATCCTATCAACTATTGTTCTGAATTAATTAAAGTATGATTTCTTGAAATATAAGTAATATATTTGATTATTCTGTTTAAATTCCTTTAATATCAAGATCCTTTCCAACATTACAGGGTCATTTTCTCCCAGCATTCTTAGTTCTTTCACTTCCTCAATTAAGTCTTCCCTATTGGTTAGCCTCAAGTCAAGTGAAGCTGACCTTCTTGTTCTAGCATTCCTTGAAGAAAAAAGTTGACAAGCCAGATCAGGGATTCCTGAAGGACTATACTTAGCAGAATTTGTCTCCCAACTTATGTAAACGTAAAGTTGTGCAAGAAAAAAAAATGCCTTCTGTATTTATTACAACTTATCTTGGACAGATAATTTCTTTCAGTGGAAAATTGAAATGTGATTAATAATTAATGGTCTTAATCCATTAAATTGTACTCTGAAAGACAGTATTTTTCACTGCTGTTCTGCTCCCATGCTTTCTTTGGTAATTAAAATTATCCATATACTCTTTGAAGCCTTTTTGAAAAATTTGTAATTTGCTTTGAAAAACATTATCCAAGTCCTCTCCTTGGTTGGGCAGTTGGTAGTGGACACTAATAGTGGTACTACTTTTATTCCTTCTTCCACTGATTTTAACCCAGAAGCTCTTTACAATACCATCAGGTTAATTCTCTTGAATGTTTATGCAGATGTGGATATTTTTAAGATACCTGGTTGCCTTTGTGATTGAGGTAGCAAACATGTTAACTAAATAAAAGTTATGAATGAAAATTAGTGGAACATATCACATATAGGAGCCGTGCCACCACACAGATGAAAAGTACATACCAATCATTTGTTTATGAAATTAAACATCTTTCTGCTGTTCTTATATTAAGATTTCCACGTTGAGTTCTCTCATTTTCATAAAAATGTGCGCTATAAAAAAGGTCCATTAAAAATGTTTAAACACTGGGTTGGATTCAGGTAAAAAACTTCCTGACTCTTCCCTCCCCGCAGAAGAACCTGTCCCCACAAAAGCTTCTCCTAGGATCAGAGGTATCTGCCAATTGGCATAGGTTATGACCTACTGCATGAGTGAAAGGAACACCTCCCAGTATTCAGCTGCTTGTCTCCTTCCCCTTCATACTCTCCTGCCACAGCCCATGCCATTCAGCTGAGTATTCTGATCCTTCATCTTGAATGGGCAGAAAAATAAGCATCTGCCATTCTCATTATGAAGCCATTTATTTGACTTCAGCCCACACTTATTTGCTAATATGTTTTTTAAAAAATCTTGGTGACTGATGTATTAAATATTTTAATTGTGTTCTCGGAAAATAGTGTTATCTCTTACTCATTTTAAGGAACAGATGTAATATCAGTTCCATGAATCATTGTACCATGAGAGAAATGCAAGAATTTATCAGATTATGTTCCCTGCAGGTTTGTTAGCCATCTCTAAATATTACAGAAAAAATGGAATCATATCCTATTTATTGTGTCATTAATACAAACATTATTGAGCCTGTAGTAAAAAGGAAATAGAATCAGCAAAATGCAAAATAATGATTCTCCTATATTTCAAGTATGTCATTCCCCAAAATACAAGTAAATTACATTAAAGACACTGTACAAGTAGAGCTCAGATCAGGAAATAATGGGTTTTATAATATTTGTTTTTGATAATCCCTTAAATTAATCTCTGTTAAATTTACAGACGTGCACACTCTTCATAAGTATTAATATCAGGCAACACTTTAGAACAAGGGTTGAAAGCCTTTCAGTGGTCAAGGGATGCATATTAATGTGAATGCATTTTGAAAGTAGATAGGGAAATGTGGAGTGTATGCAAGGTTTTTTACTCCTCTTAAAAAGAGCTTTATAACTGATAACAGCAAGGTTAATGAGTAAACTTCATAAAACCATGCTGTCAACATTTAGCAATGCACTGAGGTGGGAGTTCCTTAAAACAGAACCACAGAAGTTGTGGATAGTCCACAGAGTACTCACCTCTTTTTTAGAACAGGATGGTAAATATCAGTTGAGAGAAGGACTGAGACATTTCTTCACCAAGGCCACATAATATACTTAATGTCAGTAAATATATTGTATCAAATTTACTGCACTAATTCTTTCAATAAAATTTAATTGTACTTAATTCTGCACATACTTACTCTCTGTGTCTGGAAAAGATCACTGTCTCCTTTCCTCCTTTTAAAATTTTATTCCAATTTAGTACTTCTTTGTTTGAATATCTCAAGGTTTGTTTTTTCCCCCCTCTTTCCCCCAATGACTTCTATGTTGATCAAAATATCTAGACTTTAAAAAGTTCACACATAATTTGTTGAGAACAAGTATGAAAGCTAAATTCTCTTGGGACATGGCACTTTCAAGCTCTCATTAAAAATAAGGCCAATAGCATATTTTTTGAATCATATTTTGGAGGTGCAGTTCCTCTGGGATTTTTTCTTGTAAATGTTTTGCTACTATTGAAACATCATTTGAAGTTTTGTATAGCATAATTTTACTCATCTAAATTGGATGGTTGAACAGTTCCAGCTCTTGCTTTAACGCCAAATTCATTTCTTTTCTTTATTGAATATGTTACTTTGAAGATACAAAGAAGTGAGGAAGTATTGCTCAAGGCATGAAGGTCTTGAGATTATGGTGTTTTGGGTCTGCTTGAGTAATAAAGTTACATAGTGTTCAACTCAAATGTGAAGAAAAGAAATGAAGGTCTGGGGTTCCTTTCTTTAATTCTACGCTTAGTTATCATCACGTCTTCCACACTACCAGTGCTTGGCTCACATATGTAAATGAATGCTTTCTGCTGAGCAAGACTTTTTCTATAGCTCTTGTCTGCATGAAAACAGGATTAGGTACTTTGAATAGGAGAAAAGAATATTGTGAAAGTTCTTTGAAGTATGAATTATAGTTCAGTTTTCTCAATTATAATGTTGCCGTTTTTTAAAAGGAAAACGTAATAAGAATTTTTTTTCTTAAGCGCTGAAGAATGAGATACATACAAATACTGTATACACGTGTTGCAGTTCGCAAATCATGTTGTTGAAAAGCTTCTTTGAGATTAAAACTAAGTTATAGGTTAGATCCTCTACAATGCAATTCTTTTCCTATGACAGTTATTGGTTTTAGTACAGCAGAATTGCAATCCTAAGGGGTGGATTACCTGCAGTATTTCATGATTCAACCCTATCTGAAAGGTCACTTTGAGATGAGCCTTTGTTAGTGAAGCTGAAATTAAACTGGTTGTATTTGTGAACTGAAAATCAGAGCTTTCAAAAGCTGTGAATGATGCAAAACCTTTTAATAGATTTTAGCACCTTTTAACTTTGTATTTACCTAAAGGAAATTTGCTTTTACCAAAATATGGACTTTTGAAGTGGGAGGGAAGGTGGTCTTATATTTGCAGAATAGAGACAGCCATTGTCTAAAGGCAACAGATCCTACTCAAAAGGAGAAGCTTCTTCTGCCTCCATAAGAGGATTTTAGAAATATGGGTGTGAAGCGCAAAGATGAAGAGCCTCCTCTGTTTTTCTGTCTTGTCTCATTTTAGACACTCAGCATCACTCTCCATACACCTTTCTCTTCTCTTCCCTATCCAGTTTATTTTCCACCTTACCCATCCTCATCCAGTTTTCTTTATCTTACTTCTCTTTCCTTCCTTTCCCAGTGTAGCCATCCCTTAGTCACATGTGTCCCACAGGATGCCCATCCTCAATTTAATAGATATAAAGAGGTAGACAGAATGAATTTAGGATATCATTTATTAGGTGCTAAACACTTTTTTCACTGAACAGGTATCAACCATTATCTAAAGGATTTTTATTTTCACTTTTTTCAATTTCAAAGTTGATCATCTCTGATACCAGAAAAGTCCTGACCAACAAAGTAAAACTATAAGTTAAATAACCAACTGAGGATCTGTCAGAGAACTAACTTAGTTGGCTAGTGAAAACTAGCCTTACTAATTAACAAGAATGGAGAGTTTTCATCATAATTAAAACTGAATAGTC